TCTTAACCACCAGACCATTCCTTGTAGTTCAGGAGAGCTCCCTTTCACCCTGATTTGCTTGGAATCCTATATAATTAAAGGCAAATATGCAAATTCTCCCCTTGACCGGGAGTTCTACTGGGAGTTCAACCTGGAGTTCGACCCAGGGGTGGGGTCCACTGGCCAACTGCCCAAGTCCCCTCCTCCCGGCCAGCTTGGCCCCAATTGGGGCAGGCCAGCTAGACCCCACCTGTGCACAAATTCATACACCGGGCCTCTAGTGTTCTATAATCTTTGTGCTCTTGCCACAGTTCATCGGGTTCTAAAATTTCCTTACCCCTTTCCAGTCTAGCTGGATTGCAGAGTTAAGTTTATGATTATGAAATAAAAACTAAACAGTTGTCTGTCAGAGAGAGAGAGAGAAAGAGAGAGAGAGAGAGAGAGAGAGAGAGAGAGAGAGAGAGAGAGAGAGAGAGAGAGAAAAGAAAAGAAAAGAAAGATGAGGGCTTTTGGAGGGTGGAGGTGGAAATAAAACTGTCTACTGGCAATCAATTCCTTTAGAAGAGCAGAAGGCGGGGAGTTTGGGTGGTTTCCAAAGAAGGAAGTGCTTGTTACCTTTCAGTTGAGTAGATTCCTACAGGACATTGAGGAGCCGTGGTCTCAGGAATTTAGATGACAGAGACCCTTGTTCAAGTTTAGCTGTGAGTACAGTTTCCCTCAGGGACCAGATCAAGTGGCCTGGACAATGAACAAGGCAGTAGGCATGGTGGAGGCCACAAGCCTTCCTTTCAATATTTTAGAATGCAGAAGACATCCCCATCCCCAACCTTTGTATCACCTGGAAATGAGAGTGGAGGAGGGCAGTCCAGAAATGACAGAAATGGAATTTCCTGCCAGGCAATTTCTGCTCTAAGAGCTCAATTTGATTTAAACAAAATAAAGAAATGTGATATTTCTTATACCCAGAGTTATGGTGAAATTTTCATTCTTGATTTTTTGGTTTCAGTCATTACCTATTCATATCCCATTTGGAAGATGATTTTTCTTTAGTTCTCATACCTACACCGCACCCCATCACATGCATCCTTTTTTGCTCCCCATCTTTCTAGTATAGTTATTTTATAATTTAGATTAGAGAACAATTGTTGTGTTACTATGATGATGTACTGTATTTTTCCATGTATAAGACACTATTTTTTCTAAAATCGTTAGACTGAAAATCGAGGGGTGTCTTATACACAGAAGTCAGAAGTCAGCCGAGAAGGGAGCCTTGCAGGTGTGTAGCTGCCCATACCTTGTCAAACAGGCTTCCTCCAATCACGAGCCTTATTGTTACTGACATCAGCTGATGCCATAATTGGAAGTGGAGGTGGAGAGTGTGCAGATACAACAGAGACCAGAGTGTTCGGAGCCCATAAAGATGTCAAAAAATAAAAAGATAAATACTGGTAAGCAATTGTCTTACTCTGCAAAATCCAAACAGAATATAATCAGCTATGCAAAAGAGCATGGACATAGAGCTGCAGAGAGACAATTTGGACCTCCTCCCACTGAGTGTGTGATCAGACAGTGGAGAAAACAGGAAGAACAACTCCTTAAGATGCCAAAAAAGAAGAAGGCCTTAAGAGGAAAACCAGCAAAATGTTTAAAATATTGATTTCTTAATTTTGGATTGGAAAAGTGGGGGGTGTCTTATACATGGGGGCATCTTATACATGGAAAAATACGGTATATGCTACTCATAGCTATGCCTTGTAGAATGCAGTGATTTATACAAATAAGATTATTCCTCTCATTTTCAACTGTGTTTTTCTTGGATTAAATAATTGTCCTAAAATTTTTTTGATTAGTTTTCTACATATTTCTAATTGAAACTTTTTGCCATTTGCATAAATATCTTCTTGCTGTGTTCAGACACATAAGGCATTCTGTCGTTTCCTGAAGCACGCTAAACTGCTCTACTCCAGAAAGGCTATCCTCAGGGTCCCCACACGGCTGTGACCATGGACTTGCTCTTGACCAGAGTTCTGTGGTTCTCTCCACCTTGTCTCCCTGGTAGAGTTCCTGTCTCCAAGGTCTTGTGTTCCTCTTTCTTGGTTTAACCACTGTGAAGCACAATCTCTAAGTGGCTATCTGAGAGGCTGCAGGTGATGTAAAAATTTTGCTACCCCGAAAGTGTGAAAATGTCCTTATTCTTCCCTCATACTTACTTGATAGGTTGGCTGAATATAGACATATATGTTGAGAAATACTTTCTGCATAATCTTTAAGGTATTGCTTTTCTATTTCCAGTGTGCTGTTGAAAAATCCAAAGCTATTCAGATTCTTTATCTTTTCAGGTGACCATCTCTCCACCCCCCTCCTGCATCCTTACACTCAAGCTTGCCTTCATCCCAGTGTTTTAAGATTTCACAATGATGTGACTTTGGTGTGGTGCATTCTCAAACATTACCTGGGAATTCTGGACACGATTTCACACTGGATATTAGGTCATCTTTGTTCTAGGAAATTACTTTAAATGTTTTTTTCATTTTCTCTTTTGTGTTTCTTGGGCGGTTCTTATATTTGAACGTTGAACTTGTGAACTTGTCCTCTAATTTTCTGATTTTTTTCTCCTCTTTTCCATTTTTTGAATCCTTTTTTTTTTTTTTTGCTTTGCTTTCTGAGAAATTTCTCCAGTTTTATCTTCTAACACTTCAATTGACATTTTCATTTATGCCATTGCATTTTTAACATTTCTATTGATTGATTGATTTTTTTTTACAACAGGCTATACTTGTTTCATAGAAACAATGTCTTCTCATACCTCCATAAATATACTAATGATAGTATATTTTCTTCTCTTTGTATTGTCTCTGGTTCTTCTAGTTTGCTTAAACTGAAACTCAGTTCTTTATTTTTTTGTATTAAATGATATCTAAGATATCTGGTGATCCTCTGTGTTTGCACATATTTAAGAGTGTGGCATGCTTAGAGTATGAGAGTGGATTTTGTTGACTTGGCTGTACGTAGGGAGATCTATCTAGGTCAGTGTTAATATAACTGTATGCAATGATGGGCATGTTATATATTGACACTGTCCAATACCATAACCAGTAGCACATGTGTCTGTTGATAATTTGAAGTGTGGCTAGTGCTACTGAGGAACTGATGCATCAATTTTAGTTAATTTAATTAATCCAAAATTTAATGTAAATCACTACAGGTAGCTAGTGGCTACTGAAACATAGGGTTTGGGGTGCAGATTCTTCTCATGGGTCCTTGTCCAACGAAGTTGAATAAATTCGTGGACGAAAGGCTTCTTTAATAAAAATGTGGAAGTTTATTGTAAGCGTATAAAAACTCTCCCTGGGGAGGGGTCCCCAAATGGGAAAAACCTACTCTCTCTCTCTCTCTCTAATCATTAGAGTCTAATGGGAAAAAAATCTAAATCCACAAAATTTTCTTTGTCTCTTTGTCTCCAGGTTTATAAAGGCTGTAGCTCTTTGTCTGAACATGACCCTTTCTAATTGGACCCTTCCTTAATTTAGGATCCCCATGCTTTCCTCATTGGTCACTCTGCTACATAGTAACAGTTTCAAAGCTCAAAACCCATGTGGTGCCCCCTCTTTCTCTCCCCCTTATCTTGCAACATTCCTCTATCCTCTGTGAAAAGGTTTCCCTCTTCCCGGTATCCTGTGACTTTTCTTTATCCTCTGTGAAAATATTCTGGCGTCTTAGAGCTATTTTTGCTTTTCACATATGCATTCCTCTCCCATGAACCCTCCTTATCTCCTGATACTGCCTGTCCTATCTCTAAAATTCCTTTCACTACTATATTGAACAATGCAAGTCCAGGCTTTCTTTTTGATGTGTGTGTGTGTGTGTGTGTGTGTGAGTGTGAGTGAATTTGGTTGGATTCATTAGAGAAATCGCTTTGAGCTGCTTTCTGGCCAAATTGCTAGCATTCTGAGAACCAGGTAGAGGAAGAGGATAAGGGGGCAGGGATAAGTTTTGTTTTCAATATGCCAACACTCACTAATCTTAGTTTTCTGTCCTGTATTGCCGCCCCTCAGCTCTCCTAGAGCCCTCTGTTTTAGCTTTTTCAAAAAATAAACGTCTAGGCTTTTGCTGGGAGTAGAGAGGAGTTCTGAGGCTCTAATTGCTTCATGGTTTCTGTTCTACCTTCAGTCCTCTTCCTGAGCTGCCTAGTACGTCCAGCTCTCAAGACTTGTATGTAATCAAATGCTTCTCAGCTTCTCTGCCATCTTGGGACCCATCACTCTGGGATCTGGCACATCAGTTACCTTTCATTAATCTTCTCAACTTTCAAATGTTGAGGCTGTCATGCCTTTCCTCATTCTTTGTCCTTATTATCTGATGTCCTGGGGGCAAAAATTCTTTACCATGTTTTCATGGGGTTTCAGAAAAGTATAAAAACAAATGAGTATTCTTCAGTCACTCAGTCACCTTTACTCCACAGTTAGTTTATGTTATATGTGTGTTGTTTCAGTTTGTTCAGGCTGCTATAACAAAAATATCATAGACTGAATGGCTTAACAGCCAACATTTATTTCTCACAGTTCTGGAGGCCAGGAAATTCAATAACAAGGTGCTGGCAGGTTTGGTGTTTGGTGAGGACACTAATCCTGTTCATGAGGGCTCATGATCTAATCACCTTCCAAAGGCTGTACCTCCTAATACCATCATGTTTGGGGTTAGGATTTAAAAATATGAATTTTGGGGAGACACAAACATTCAGTCCATACCATGGGTTTACATTTATAATCTTTCCAATCTAATCACTTATTACACTGCCCTTTTTAAAAAAAAAAAATTATTATTCATTTTACAGAGAGGAAGGGAGAGGGATAGAGAGTTAGAAATATCGATCAGCTGCCTTCTGCATGCCCCCTACTGGGGATCCAGCCTGCAACCAAGGTACATACCCTTGACCAGAATCAAACCCGAGACCCTTCAGTCCTCAGGCTGACACTCTATCTACTGAGCCAAACTGGTTAGGGTTACTATACTACTTTTTAAGTTGATCTTTAAAAGAATTATTAACAGTGACTGTTATAATTTAGAATTCATACCTCTAGCAATAATTTCAAATCTATATAAAATATTTTTGCCTGTTTTTTTAGCTGACTTCTACAAGCATTTGAACTCGCACTTATTGAGGCTGAATCTGGATAATTGAATAGGCCTTTCATAACAGGAGAGACAAAGTACAGGTTCAAATATAAGGTGAGCCTTTTTAGCTCTAAGAAAAAATTGGAGAACAATTATACCTTTTATTTAGATATATGCAATTAGCTTTTCTTTCTTTTTTTCTTTATTAATTATTACATATGTGTCCTTATTCCCCCCACACACCAAACCCGTTCATGCCCTCACCCTCCTAGTGTCTGCGTCCATTGGTTATGTTTATATGCATGCATACAAGTCCTTTGGTTGATCTCTCCCCCTTGCCCGCACTGCAATTAGCTTTTCAAAATAATTGAATAGACCTCCTATAATATGAGAGACTTTATAAAGACTCAAATATAGGGCAATTATTTTTATTTCTATGGCATAACTTTTGGAGAAAATATCGTTTATATTCAAGTTCAGATGGTATTTAGGCAAATCTGTACAAAATATAAAGCATGGGTGTAACTTAAATACATAATCAGTGTTATTGTGTTTTCCCTCCTTTTCTCAAACTATGAAGGTTGGATTTTCCTGAGGGTGCAAATTCAAATTACTATGAATTACAGAAAATGAGATGCTATTTATTGTTCATCCATGTTTAGATGGACTTGGGCATAAGTCCAATATGTATTTAAAGGAATCTATGACAAGGGAGATCAACACAGTCATGGGCAGAGTAAGCCATTTAACTCATTTATAAAGTCATACATTTTAAACTTGTATTACAGTTTGGACTTTTAATGGAGTTGGATGGTTTATTTCTGCTCCTCATTTCCTAACAGTAGGTAGCTGACTTTTCTTGCAAAATAAAGATGGCTCCTCAGGTGAGCCTAGAGAGTCTTTTGGATGCTAAAATGAGTCTCTTCTCGGTGGATTGGTTTTCTGTTTTTATTAAATCAACAGTTTGATTTGTGTGTAAATTTTAGCGGCTGGGAAATCCCATTTGTGTCTATTTTTCTGTTCAAGTTCTGGTTGAAGTTATTGCTCCACCCACATTGTTCTTCCTTTTCCCTGAACTCCTACCCCATGTGGAATTTGCACTTCGTGATTTAGAATCTAATTCTATAGTGTTTTGCTGCTGCTTGCTTCAGACAGTTTTTAATTCCCCTCCACCTCCACTGCCCTCATCATCTAACTGAATTGTGATGGTTCAGAAGACAAAAGTCATGTTCGGTATGTCTTTTTTTAATCCTCACCCGAGGATATTTTTTCCATTGATTTTTTAGAGAGAGTGGAGGAGGGCGGTGGGGAGAGAGAGAGAGAAACATTGATGTGAGAAAGACACATCAGTTGGTTGCCTCCACATGCACTCCTACCCAGGGGCCGGGAATGGAGCCTGCAACCGAGGTACGTGCCCTTGACCGGAAATCAAACCCAAGATCCTTTGGTCCACGGGGACTGATGCTCTAACCACTGAGCAAACCAACCAGGGTTGGTCTTTGTAAACTGCACAGGGCCACTCTTGTAGAGGCACTCAGGTTAGGCTTTCTCATTGAGAGAGATTTGGGACATATGCTACCATTTATCTTGTACATCTTCTGCCCCAAGTGCCATGTAGACACTTTACATATTTCTCATCCTTACATAGATACTGCAAAAATACTGATATTTTTATCTCATTTCTCAGTCGAATCTGACACTCAGAGAAGGCAAGTAACTTACATATAGCCGTTAAGCATCTGAACCCAACTTAAACCCGGATTTAAACCCATGCTCTTCCTGCTACCCCAATTCAACTCGCCTCGTTCTCAGAACTCACATAGAGTCCATTACTTAGCGTTCATCTAGGTTTGTCATTGGTCTACTAACCTAGATGGAATTCAAGTTCTCTCCTGCTGACTTCCAATGTTAGCTCTGCACTTTTGAGAATGAGGCGACCAACTATCTGAGCAGACGTACTTGTCTCTTTAGGGCCATTGGAGCCTGGCGAGAGCCCTGGAGGGTCAAGATATCATCAATGAACATCCTGGTTCTGAAACCCTAGTCTAATGCTGGCAGGGCTGTTGTAGTGACGTAGGGCCTGGAATTTGTCTCTTCCTTTTCTTCTCTGCATTTCATCGCTCCCACATTTTTTAAAGCAAAACTTCCTCTATGATATAATAATGGGTAAGCACTCAGAGTTTCCAAGTGACAAGTGAGTGCCAGGACTATTTTCTTTGCCTTGGGAAGCTATAAATTCCCAGGTCTACTCAGATTCCAGTGACTTTCAGAGACACAGAGCCGCCGCTCTCCTTAAGAAAGGCCACCAATGGGAGTGATTTCTGGTGATGCAATGCTGATATTTTAGTACCATCCTGGAGCGGGGAAGAGGGGGGTTTCTCCGGAGCCAGATGAACTCATAATTAGTTCTCACCCAGGCTGCTTAAGCAATTATGGTGAAACCAAATCACATTACTTTTTTTTCTCCTGCTCTTGATAAAAGCCTCAACCCTGCTCCTTCTGCCCCACAGGGCCCTTGGCGGGCCATTATTTCTCATACCACAGACGCTATTGCTCACTTTTGTTTCCAGGCTACAACTGTCACTGTGTAAAATAAGAAGTGTGGGGGAAATAATGTACACCTCTCGGTCTCACTACTTCAGAGGCACCTAGCAACCCTGTCTCCAGGCAGGCGGCACGCATCTCCCTGGTAGTTTATTGCCCACTCACAGCAGAGGCGGCGTGCTCTCTGCAAATAGTCTACATCTTTGCCGGTGCCGGCGTGGCGGTGGGGTGCCGGTGTCATTTGGTGTCCTCAGGGATGTTTGGTTCTTGTTCTGGGAAGACTAAGGCAAAGCAACGACGATTTCCCCAAAGCTGTTTGTGGAATCAGAAATTAGGTTAAGCGGTTCCGGACTCGAGGTGGCGTAACCTAAAATCAAAAGCAATGGTTCTCAACTGTTGTTTTGTCCAGTCTTTGACACATTTCTGACCTGAACCTTCCAGAATGTTCAGGACATTCTCTTCTAAAGGGTGTTTCCCAGGTATGTCTATGTGACGAGCAGCCCTTCGGGCCATTGTGTCCATCTGCATCCCTGCCCATCCGCCCGCCTGTCAGCCAGCCCCACAGTTTTCAGCATATCTGCTCTGTGCCTCCGAAATACCAGTTGGGCTGCAGAGAGCCCTGGGCTGGCTCACCAACCAGCCACATGGACATTTCATTTTAGGCTCATGTACCACGGGGCATTAATATGTGCATGTGGAGACTTGTCACTTGCTTTCTGTACATTAGTGAATTGTTAAACATTTTTTGTTTCTTTACTACTTATATTCTTTATCACATTTTGACCCTCCCCCAGAGTAAAAGCCTTTGGAGAATGAAAGCCAGATCTCTTGTGGAGGGAAACCAAGCTTTTCCTGGGATGAGTGCTCAAAAAATGGAAGGACTCCGAGTCCTAGGTATGTAAAACTTGAGTTGGGAAACTGAGTGCTGCTGGGTAGAGGGGTAATCCCAAGGTATCAGGAAGGAACTAGGTTTTAACACCCAAGAGTCATTCTCTCATTCACTCACCAAACAATTATTGAATTCCTAATGAAATATCTTACTGACAAGCTCATAGTCTGGGGATATTTTAGTAAAAACAAGAATTCGGGACAATGTCAGATGTGTTGTAATACAAGTACTTACAAAGTGCTTTGGGAGCTTGAATGGGGATGGCGAGGCTCTCCAGGGAGATGGGAAGTGATATTTATATTATTTAATTTTTAATAAGAGCCACGCTTAACAACTGGCTCACAACATTCCTAAAAATCTAGCACTTGGCTCTCACGAGCTGGTGTGCACTGGCTGCAGCACATCATGGGATGAAGGTGAAACTGCGAAGTGTAGCTATGTCCTGTAGCCATGCTAAGGAATTGGACTCTCTCCATGAAGCAGGATAATTTGAAATATTACCTAGTGGTTTTGTGTCTCTTGTTTTACATATATATTTAAACTTCTACCACTATAGAAGGCACCCAACTTTTCCTTTTCCTTATCTCAGCTTCTTTTGCTTTGCTGGCCAGAAACCAAATATTTCTAAAGAGGCAGGCTTGGCATTATCTACTTTCATAGGACCACCTGGATACAGTCAAGGTGAGGATGAGAGGTAAGCATTGTAAACTAAGACCAGAGAGCCCGTTCTTGAATATCCTCTTATTAGATTCTTCTAAATTTCAGAAGATCGTTGGTGGATGGAAGGAGCCCAATAAAAAGACTGAAATTGGGTTTTTCATTGACTAAATAGAAGAGGACTCAGCATAATTTAACTATTCTAGAGACGTTAAGAGAAGTGCTGTCTCCTGCACTCTGCTGTTGCAGAACAAAACTGATACCCACTACAACTGTGGATCATATACAGTTTTTAAACCAGGAATATAAGCTGGTTTTATCTAAATTTTAGAAGGCTAACTATCAACTGTGTAGAGGAGGAACTGGAAGGGGGAGACCCAGTTGAAAAAGAATCAAGTTAGGTGTGATCATCTGACATGATAAGGAGAGTAGTCAGGATAGTCTCTGGGAATAAAGAGGAGAGGACAGGCTCCATAATATTTCAGAGGCTAAATCACAAAGGCTATGAATACAAGTTTGAAGATTTAAAAATGAGCCATTATGTCTTAGAGGCATATGCAACCCCATATCCATGTTGGTTACTTCATGCCAGGCACAGTGCTCATACTTAGCAGGTGCTTAATAAATACATGCTGAATGAATAAAAGAGCTAGTAAATGTATGTAAGTTCCATACACAAGCAAATATATGCATTTTCACTTCATTGAAAATTAGTCTTGCCACGAGAGTGACAAGAAAAGACACAGGCTGGGAGAAAAATCTTTGCAAAAGACACATCTAATAAAAGATTGTTATTCAAAATATACTCTTAAAACTGAACAATAAGAAAATAAACATCATGACTGAAAAAAAAAATTGCAAAAGACCTTGTAGACATCTCACCAAAGAAGATATACAAATAGCAAATAAGCATAACAAAAGATCCTCTACTTTATATGTTATTAGGAAAATGTAAAGTTAAACAACAAGGAAATACCACTACATATCTATGAGAATGGCCAAAATCCATAAAACTGACAACACCAAATGCTGGCGAGGATGTGGAGCAACAAGAACTCTCATTCATTACTGGTCAGAATGCAAAAACATACAGACACTTTGGAAGACAGCTTGGCAGTCTCTTATAAAACTGAATAATAATCTTACTATATGATCCAGCAATCAAATTCCTTAGAATTTATTTACCTGAGGGAGCTGAAAACCCTGTCCACACAAAATTCTGCACATGAATGTTTGTAGCAGCTTTAGTCAAAATGTCAAAACTTGGAAGCAACCAAAATGTCCTTCAGTAGGTGAATGGAAAAACAAACCATGGTTCATCCAGACAATGAAATATTTTTCAGCACTAAAATAAAATGAGCTATCAAGCCATAAAAAGACATGGAGGGACCTTAAATGCATATTACTAAGTGGAAAAAAAAGTCAATCTGAGAAGGCTAAACACTGTGTGATTCGAACTACATGACATTCTGGAAAAGGGAAAACTATAGAAACAACAAAATTAGTGGTTGCTAGGATGGGGGGTCGGGGGAGGTCATCCCCTGTCCCAATTCATATGTTGAAGGATAAATAGGTGAAACACAGATGATTTTTGGCCATTGAATCTAATCTATTCTGTATGATGCTGTAATGGTGGATGTGTCATTATACATTTATCAAAACCCATAGACTATATGACCCCAAGGCTGAACCCTAATGTCACTGTGGACTTTGGATGATAATGATGTGTCAATGTAAGTTCACCAACTGCAACAAATGTACCACTCTGGTGGGGGATGTTGATAGTGGGGGAGGTTGCATGTATATGTGAGGACAGAGGGTAATGGGAAATCTTAGGACCTTCCGCTCAATTTTACTATGAACCTAAAACTGCTCTAAAACATAAAGTCTATTTAAAGGAGGGGGGGGGGGCGAATCTGGGAGCCAGCATGAGGATTTATGACTCAGTACCTGAGTGGTGGTTATGGAAACCAGAGCATTTCCTCATTGCCTGAACATGGTATTCTAACCAGTAGACTGCACTTGTATAAAGGTCAATAAGCCTATTAATGAAGAAAATGCTAGTGTGGCAGGAGGAAATTCAAGTACACAGGATTATTATGAGGTATATGTCAAAGAACAGAGGATGAGAATTTGAACCAGCTTAACCCAGTTTGCCATTCCATGAATGTCAGATCACTTGAGACTTCATTAGAACGCTCCAGCACTTAGAGGGGATGACAACTCTGTGTTTCCAACTTACTATCTTTCTATCAGGCAGTTGTAGCAAAAGCACATTTCAGACCATAATGTTCTAAGCAGACAAATATTTGTTAGCAACCAGGCACAAAACAATCATCCTGCCTGTGTCTACTTGGAATATTTTCAGACTCAAAACTTGACACAAAATGCCGAAACCGGTTTGGCTCAGTGGATAGAGCGTCAGCCTGTGGACTGAAAGGTCCCAGGTTCGATTCCGGTAGGGGGCATGTATACCTTGGTTGTGGGCACATCCCCAGTAGGAGATGTGCAGGAGGCAGCTGATCAATGTTTCTAATTCTATCTCTCTCTCCCTTCCTCTCTGTAAAAAAATCAATAAAATATATTAAAAAACAAACAAACTTGACACAATGACCAGCCCTTCATGAAAGGCTCTCTCCAAGATGAAGACAGGCGTGTGCTGACAGAAGGAGCATCAGGCCTTTTAGTCAGACCAGATGACAGGATTGTCCACTGATGGGGAGAGGTACAGGGTCTTAGGAGCTGTCCCCATGGTATGAATTATTGGCCTGGAACATGATAAATAATGAATTTCTGGTGTTGATTTTGACAAGAATACTTTTGAATGCCACCTGGCCAATTTTTAGGGTGTTAACTCTATTAAGCCACTTCATATGCTTATTGATTCCTAGGGTATAGATTAGAGTTAAATTGTAGGTACAAAGTTCACAGTGTTTACATACTGTGGTATTGTAAAATATATTACGACAAACGATAAAACCAAAAGAAACATCCCGAAAAAGATTTTAAGAAAGCTCCAACATCAGAATGAAACTGTACCTCTGCTTTGTGTTGTACTAGTAACTGTGAAATCTAATTGTATGTTTCCAGTTATTGTCTGGAGAGAGTGAGAGTATATAGGGCTTTATAACATTTACACAAGAACAATTGAAAGCAATTACTTCCTTGGTTGAGGTAGCATTATGGATCCTTTCTGAGATTCCCCATGAACAAAACCTTGATATAAGGCTTTATTTGATGGATTTATTTATTTATTTTTGTAACAAGAAGAGCCATGAGTACTATGGATGAGCAGAAAAATATCCCAGAGACAGGTTGTCATAGAAACTGTGCCAGGAGAGCAGCTACGCACAGGATAGAATGCACCATCCAAAGAACTGAGGAAGGAAATCATCTTGAAGCTACTCTTTTCATTAGTTTGAGGGAGCAAAGCTCTCATGAATCTCCTCATGGAAATTGTCATCACTGATAGTAGGAGTAGGTGGGATTCAGGGAGGCTGTGGGGCTGGCGATAGTCCTATAGTCTCCTCATAGGACTTTAAAAAAATATTTTATTGATTTTTTTTACAGAGAGGAAGGGAGAGGGATAGAAAGTTAGAAACATCTATCAGCTGCCTCCTGCACACTCCCTACTGGGTATGTGCCCGCAACCAAGGTACATGCCCTTGACCAGAATCGAACCTGGGACCCTTCAGTCCGCAGGCCGACGCTCTATCCACTGAGCCAAACCGGTTAGGGCTCATAGGACTATTTTTAGGAGATTAAAACAGATAAAATATACAGAACACATACTATATGTAGTCCCTGAAAAATATTAATAACAATAATCTTTATGATCTCATATCCTCCTCACTACAACCCTCTAAGGAAGACACAGTCATTCAAATTTTTCAGATGAGAAATTAAGGTGCAGAGAAATTGAATTGTTTAAGGTCACATAGTAAGTGATCTCTCACTCTAGGGCCCTTGCCCTTAACTTCTCTGCTGGACTGAACAAGTAGGCAATCGATAACTGATAATAATTACAAAAATGATTCTTTGGTGGTGAAATGATAGTAGGAGTTTCAATTGCTATGAAATACATATGGCATAATGCTATAACATTTGTTGATGTTGTTTTTACTTTAGGTTTATTTTTCCTAATCCAAACAGAAGTGTCATCCTACAGGATGACAAACAAGTACTTTGTTCCCTTCTCCCCACCCAGGTTGTCCAATCAATCTATGTTCTCTTACAGGAATCTCTCTCTATCTCTCTATCTCTCTCTATCTCTATCTCTATCTCTATCTCTATCTCTATCTCTATCTCTATCTCTATCTCTATCTCTATCTCTATCTCTCCCTGTTTCCTGAAGGAGAAGCTTATGTCTGGAGCTTCCTTACCATACCTTCCCTTAAGTTTCAGGATCTTACTTTATGGTCTGAATTCTGTCCCCTCCCCCAAATTCCTATGTTAAAGTCTATTAAAGAGAAATTATTCTCTACACTTGTTAAACAACAGTAAGGCAGACTTTATTCAGGGGGACTATCACAATAGGTATAAGGACCACTATGATGGGATTTTGTATTAGGGGAGAGAGATTGCCTCAACCCCAAATACAAGAATTTGTAGCCAAGAAGTAGGAGTGGGGAGTCAGTGGATGGAAAACTAGTAAGAGGAAACATCATGGGTAAGGGAGGATTCTGCCTAAAAGGAGCTAACAGGACTCTTGCTAAAGGCAGGCCAGGTTGATCGTTTCACCTGAATGATGCCGGGTGATTCTGGTTAAACTGACCTACCAGGATTCTTGCTAGAAATGGGCTTTACTGGAAAGAGCATGAGAGCCCAAGGTCAGGCCTAGTCCAAAGAGAGCTCAGAAGAGCTGGACCAACGGTTGGTCAAGGAAAGAATCATTGTCAAGTCTAACCTCCCAATGCTGAAAAATGTGATTGTATTGGAGATAGGGCCTTTAAAGAGGTGATTAAGGTAAAATTAGGTCATATGGTTGGATTCTAATTCATTATGACTGGTGTCCTTCCTTATAGGAAAGGAGGTTAAGACACAGAGGGATGACCATGTGCAGACATCAGCGGAAGACAGCCATCTACAAGCCAAGGAGAGAGGCCTTTAGAAGACACCACCCCTGACACCACCTCAATCTTAAACTCCTAGTCTTGAGAACTGTGAGGAAATAAATTCCTGTTGTTTAAGCCCTCTAGTCAGTGGTACTTTGTTATGGCAGCTCTAGCAAACAAATGTACCTTACAGTGGTCTGAGCATCAAAAGTTTACTCACACCAGTGTCACCATTTCCTCCTGGCATCTCCACTCAGCCTTCTGTGGCTGTGGCTGTTTCACTGGAGTTAAGCAGCACTATGGAATGTGAACCTACATGTGTCCACCTTGGAAAAGGCCCTGGGGAGATTAGGTCTAGGAAAATGAATCAAAGTCCGTGCTTTCCTTTGTGTTCTTGTGCCTGCCTCCCACACATGCAGGCTTTCCCAGAGACCAGCGTCTTCCTCGGAGCTAACAAACACTTTGTTCATATCTAGATGCAAGTTGTTACAGGACTGCACCACCATTAATTTTTTATATGTCTGTTTACCACTCCTACCGCACCCCCTGTTAATTTCTGGATACTGAGATTATGCCTATGAATTATTCATTCTGTATTTCCAACCCCTTCTATAATTCCTGGTTCAAAGAAGGCATTAATTCATGCTTAAACTTCTTGAGTGGATATATATATTTTTAAATCTTTTCTTCTTTCTTTACCTCTGATGGAGGAGGGGGTTTTGTAATATAGACTTAAGTGAAGGAAATTGTAAGCACATTGAACATGATGCTATGAGCAATAGTCAATCTATATTATAAAAGGCCTGTGGCCGTAACACTGTAAGGACCAACGACCAGACTCACCAGGAGGTGCATTGATGGGTCCTGCAGCAGCCACGGTGGGCGGGACTCCAGGGTCCCGAGGCAGCAGTGGGAGGGAGTCCGGGGTTCCCACGGTGCAGGGGGGTGGGGGGGTATGGGTCTCGCGAGATTTCGCGCACTGGGCCTCTAGTATTATAACAAAAGGGTTTGTTTTTGTTTTAAATGCTCCAATAAGAAGATTCCGAAAGGCCTAAGCCTCTTCTTATGAGGGAGAATGTAAGCATAACCGAGTTTGAGTTGTGTAGGAGAAATGGTCATCATGAGTTCAAGGAATCTTACTGCCTTCTGCACATCCAAGATGGAGCCAGCACCCCACCAAGGGGATTAGGTATCATTGGGGAGGGAAAGGAGCCTGCAGAGAAAAGGGATTCCTGACAACTCATTGGAAAATGAATATTTCACCTCTGGACATTCTCTGGATTCCTTGTGGGTTTGGACTAGTTACTAGAAGAACTGTTTCTCTTTGGTAATGAACTATACCTCATTCTCCTCGGACTTTTGGGCAGAAGAGAGGGGGATGTATCTTTATTGTTATGAACTGTATCCAGATGGTCATGTTGGAACATGGAAACACTGTGCCTCTCACTCACTCCTCAGTCCAGACAAATGGGAGGTGCCTGATCTATCATGGGTTCTGGTTGGAAGCAAAATGCAGTCTCTTCCAGAGAGCCAATCCAAGGAAGGTCAACTTATCCTGAAAGATTTAGTAGAAAGCTGAGTCATGAGCATTTGCTATTTTTAGACAACAATAGGTGATGGACAAAGCAGGACGTGTAACTAACAATACAAACTTTTGTACTACTTGGAACGGAGTCCTGGAGTTTACCGTTGGTGAGACAATTGCCAACACCCCACAGATTTGTGCCAGGAACACCAAACAAGCAGAATCAGTCATTTGTGAAGAAGTAGAACAGTCCTTCGTTAGACTTTGTGACTTTGTGTATTACTAAAAATGAGCACAAGTGAAGGTCAAATCTCTCCTCCAGGTTCCTAATTATAATTCAGAGAGAAAGTCGGGAAAGAGAATAGAGAAAAAGCAAAAAAAAAAAAAAAAAAAAAAAAAAAAGGGCTGCCGGGAGTTTGGGAACACAAAACAGAGATGGAAGATATTTCTGTCTTTGATGTCAAAGATACACAGGCTAACTTTTTTCTCCTAAAGGCATTTAATGTTGTGGGATTGAATTCTTCTTTCTGACGCCTAGGAAAATCCACTGTTTGATCTCATCTGGGTCTTTTCAAGGCTGTTTGTTTGTGGGCTGGGAAGTTAATTCCACAAAAAGCACTGGAATCCTATATCACGCCAGCTCTGAGTGATTCACAGCAGTCACAATGCAGGTCAGATGGTACATTTTTTTGTATTAAAAAAAAATAAAAGGGTTACTTGAAAGTGTATATCTAGAAAACACAAGACATTTGTACTACTTATGATCCAATGAAAGCTAAATAGCATTGGGACATGATTAAGTTATAGTTTGAAAAAACAAAAACAATTTTTTCTTAACACCAAAAAAATTATATTTTGCTAATTTAAACAGTTTTGAAAATTGGCACAAAGGAGCAAAGAGGGCCTTTCATGTGATGTGTAAGGAAGATCTGTTGAAGAAAATTAGCACCTAGAAATAGGATTGATAATGTGACGTATACTCACTTTGATCTAAATTTAACACCTTCCCACATTTCCAACGTTCCCGTGTCCTTCTAGTTACTATAGTGATCATTTCTTGCAACTCAACATTTAATTCCTAGGTAACAGACAACAATCATGGATACCAGGGTGGGCATAGGTAAAAATTCTATTTATTAAATATTGTCTGTTTGAAAAGCTCCCCACCCCCAGCATATTTTAGGCTTGCTACAGTGAATGAGGAGATTGAAATGCCTTCAAATACAAGGAGAATCAATACGCATGTTTAGGCCCTAATTTGGAGTGTAAGAGGCTTGACATGATGTCACGGCATTGCTAGGGAAACAAAAAATGAGGATTCTAAAATAAGTACTTTCAGCTGGATTTGACCCAGAAAATCACTCTTGATGTTTAATGAAGCTGTGGACAAAAAATACCCTCAGTAGTTGGAGCATCTGTTCTGTCCAATGGATCATAGTCAGTGTTTATTCTTTTTCTAAAATGGACAGATCCATGATTGGGAGTTGTTGTTTTTTTCCTCATGAAAGCAACTTGCATTCAAAACTTCCAGATAAGCCCTAACCGGTTTGGCTCAGTGGATGGAGTGTTGGCCTGCGGACGCAGGGGTCCCGGGTTCGATTCCAGTCAAGGGCATGTACCTTGGTTTCGGGCACATCCCCAGTGGTGGGTATGTAGGAGGCAGCTGATCAATGTTTCTTTCTCATCAATGTTTCTAGCTCTCTATCCCTCTCCCTTCCTCTCTGTAAAAAATCAATAAAATATTTAAAAAACAAAAACAAAAACAAAAAACCTTCCAGATAAATGCAGAAGAATTCCCTGACCACTGAAAGGACAAGCAATAAGTATAGCACTTCATTATATTGTTCTTCAGACTTTTTAAAAAACATCTTTTTCTGGAGGCCTATTTCAGCTCTCTAATAAAAACAGTTGTCCAAAGATTCATACCTGAGTTCCACAGAGATAGTCCACTATTTATATTTCTGGGTATTGGCCCTGTAGTGCCATCGTCCTATGTTCGAGATAGTAATGAGTCTGTTGACATGCAGGGTTGTGAAACAGCCCACACTTTTTTTTTTTTTAATTTTTTTTAAAATTTTTTTTTATTGCTTAAAGTATTACAAAGGGTATTACATATGTGTCCATTTTATCCCCCCGCCCTAGACAGTCCCCTAGCCTCCCCTATCCCCCAGTGTCTTATGTCCATTGGTTATGCTTATATGCATGCATACAAGTCCTTTAGTTGATCTCTTATCCCCCTACCTCCTGCCCCCCAACCCTCCCCGGCCTTCCCGCTGCAGTTTGACAATCTGTTTGAGGCAGCTCTGCCTCTGTATCTATTATTGTTCAAAAGTTTATAGTGGTCTCTATTATCCATGAATGAGTGAGATCATGTGGTAATTTTCCTTCATTGACTGGCTTATTTCATTTAGCATAATGCTCTCCAGTTCCATCCATGACGTTGCAAATGGTAAGAGTTCCTTCCTTTTTTAGAGCAGCATAGTATTCAATCGTGTAGATGTACCCCAGTTTTCTAATCCATTCATCTACTGATGGGCACTTAGGCTGTTTCCAGATCTTAGCTATGGTGAATTGTGCTGCTATGAACATAGGGGTGCATATATCCTTTCTGATTGGTGTTTCTGGTTTCTTGGGATATATTCCTAGAAGTGGGATCACAGGGTCAAATGGGAGTTCCATTTGAAGTTTTTGGAGGAAACTCCATACTGTCAACAGCCCACACTTTTAAAGCGAGCTTTTCCATTATCACACAGTAAGCAAAAGTAAACATAAATACACAAAAAAATGTAATAAAACAGACCAAAAATACACCAGAAAAGTGGGGAGTGGCTAAAGGAGAGAGGGAATACTAAGAGATCATAGTGTTGGAGTATGTTAAGGAACTTCAAAGTCAAACTGATGGTGACACTTATTAAGCTCTTCCTATGTGACCAGTCATGACAACTATATTAAAATTGTCATTATTCACCTTTCCACTTTACAGACTGATAGCATTAAAGTAACTTGCTCAGGGGATCCCAATTAAGCTAGTATAGAGGTGGGACTAGTATATATTTAAAAACAACCACCACCACAACATGCCCAAGAAGTCAAGAGGATCTATAATGGGTAGTTGGTCTCACAAATGCCAAAATACAATCTAGGACATCCATGGGGCTTGCACTGTGGTCTAATCCAATGAATTCACAACGTCAAGTGGCCAGAACGGGCACCCAAAGCTCCCCTGGAAAAGAGACAACCAGTAATGGGGATGTAGACTTGATTTTCATAAAGCCTTTTTGTTCTATGTAGGGGAGTTTTCATGTGCCCTTTGTGTATATCCATATCCTCAAATTGGAAAGCAGAGTAGGTAGAAATTCTTGATAACACCATATATGCAAGAATATGGTAATGTTAGACTTTATGTTTTTCTCTTTTACCAGGTAGTCCTATAAACCAGAGATGGGTGGCAGATTTATTACTGCTCCTGGGAACTCAACCTGGGTGTCAGACAGTGATAGTCATATTTCATTACAGTCCAGGGCAATTTTAGCAGTTCATTCTGCAAGTCCCAGCATATATTATTGATTATTGTTCCATATGAATCAATCACAGATGAAATGGAAGACAG